TGAAACTATAGCCATATTCACATATGTCTATAGTTGCCTACCACACAGTTCCGGTAACAAAAGTAATGAATGTAAGTTATGTTGTGGGCGAGAACAAGTACACAACTTTCCAATCATTCACAAGGGAGGAATCACGTCAACTCTTCATTAACTTTCCGAGCACGTAATCATTCGAAGAGTCGATTTACAATACGAAACATAAAACGATGATAGGCGTAATCATTAATGTAAATAATAAACTCAATTTGAAATGCAATCAATAAGCTGGATATTTTGCGTATATAAATAGGCTCGTTATCCATTGCATAAAATACTTCTAAGTGCTCAATCAATTTAAAATTATCCATTACGTAATATTATATTTCACAATGTAAAGTGTTGACATACCAATGATGAATTGGCTCTATTATCTTCTATCTACTTCTGAATATTCTACAATATGTCATGACCTATTTCATTATCACTTACTCTGACGCCTTAACAAGAGAAAGGAAAGATAACTTCAATTTTTTCCAATCTATCTTTAAGATTTATAGAAAAATTCGCATTTTTACAGTTTTTACAGATGTTCAGATCATTAACCAAAAACCTAGACAGGAGTTTAACGCGCTTAGACATGGTTTTACTATTAAAAGTGATACAAGACATATAATTTGAATAGTAAATAGCACATTCGTATTTATTTTGAAAATTTGGATATTTAAGAATCATAATGAAAAGAAATGATCGAGTAAGAGCCTCTTCTAACTGAATCCTTATCAGTTCTTCGTTCAGCAGCGTGCTCACCTCTCATCCTACACACGTCTTACTAATGATGATTGATGAATCCTCACACTAATCCATAGTTCCGTATTTGTTATGTCATTCTGTACCGTCTCATCGTTGTTCCCACAATTTTCCTGATTTAATTCTCCTTTTTAGGGTGCGCATTTTATTCTCGTCCTAAATATATACAAACGTCTAGGCAGAAAATTTGCCACCTGTTTACTTCGAGAATGTAAATTGCTGCGGGTATTCGCTTACATTATTAATTTAATGCATTTTATTATAAAAATAATAATAATAAAATTTCAATCGGAAAACTAATTATATTATTCTTAAATTTAAAATAACAAATGATTTATGTTTATTATAAATTAACGTTTTGGATAAAGATCGAAAAAAAAAATAGAAATTAGGTCATTCGCTTTAAAAAAGAACGTATTCGACTTATTCTAAATTATTACTACTTGAAAATATAACAAATTAAAGATGCAACCTTGGATAATAAAAAATAGATGTTTGCCTAAAGCGTGGAGAAAGCTAAGGAATGTTATAATGAGACATCTTGTTTTTATTTGGAAATATTTGACATCTAAGGACAATACAATGCATCCACTTAGATTTACTGTCTATTCAGAATTTAAATGAAAAGAATCATATCACTACCGCTTCTATACTTGACCAATGGAAACTTTTATATACTATATCCATTTCATTCCATCAACTATAAATTATATACTTAGATCTAATGCCATTTGTGCTTTTTATGTTTTAATATGAAAAATCATAAGCAATAATTTTGTATATATTTAATCATAAATATTTAAAATATATACAGTATTTTAGTTATAATAATGAAATGGAATACACTATATTATTCAATGTAGCCTACTGTATATTGTGTTTGTTTATACCGTCGAACCTCCATAACGCCACCTCCTATCAAAGGCCATTTTTTATATTTCCGTCAGTAACCGTTGTTTGGAGGTTTTTGTAACTTTCGTCTCCACAATCTTTTTTTGTAATATCCGTCTGGACAGAAATAATTAGAAGTGAAATTAGGCGAGTTTGTCGTATTGTGCTGAAGCACAATACGACAAACACAGAGCCGTCGAGAAGGAAGCGGGGATTTTTCCCTGGACCAGTGAAAACTTGGCGAATCGTAGTGGTCCCTACACTTATAAATTAATGTTATTTTTACTAACAAAAAAGTTTTTAAACTGATTTTTACTAATAAAGAAACATTCTATGTATTCTATTTATTCAAAAAAGAAAAAAAAATACAGAAAGGTTTCGCTAAAGGGCAAAATGAACTCTCTGATTCGCGGTCCCCAAATAAACTCTCGACAGCCATGGCTGCATATGTTGTTTTTCACTCTCTTTAAAAATGAAAACGACCTTTTTCTCTAGCGTTACTTGAGGGGGAGTGTAAGGTAAATGCCCAGCAAGCAAGATGAACAAGTTCGGGAACGTGGATTCTAATTCTCAGCCTTTAAAGAGCTTTACAATTTCACTAGATTAAAATTTACTCTTTTCCTAAAAAAGTAAACTCCGGAAATTGCAAAAGTTCATCTCGAAACTCCTGTTCCGAGTCATTTTTGTAAATCGTTTTACAAAAATCTCATCAAACGACGAGGTTAGCACATGGATAATTTTGGAGAATGTAAAATGATGAAAATATTAATTCTAGTTTCCCTGATAGACCAACTGACGTGCTAAGGTATTATTATCTAAAATATAGAGTATGGCAGACATTTTACATTTTATTTATCATTTAAAAAATTAGTGATTTTTGTATATTTCCATAAAGCAGTTATTATTTCTTTTTTTACATCTTGTCGGGCAATTTTATATTCAATTTTTTAAAATAATTTTAAAAGAATAAAATATTCTAAAAACTTGTTTTTTTATTTATTATTTTAAATAAATATAAAAAGTTTAAAAAATACTGTATAATAAATTTTTAACCGAATTATACTGTAATACTACCTTTGGAAATTTATCAAGTTTTAACGTCGCTTACTTATCAAAAAATAATTTTTGTATATGTAAGAACAGTAATTAAAACATAATTAAACATTAAAGTTATGCTTTAATCAGTTCTTTATTTAACACGAAGAAAGGAAATGATGTAAAACTCATAATGAACATAATTAACTTTAAATTGATGATATAATAAACTAAATTAATTTTATTCGGTTACTTTTAAAATTGTTGATTTCACAATATTTTAAATTGAATACAGTAAACACTGATATTTAATTTTAGAATTGAGGTCATTTTCTAGATATTCATTACGTGATATATCATTTGATTCGGGAAAATCCCAAATTATTGACGATCATTTATATTACGACTCACTTCACTGAGAAACTTTGTATAATTAAGCTGTAAAAATCCATATAAAATTTTAATTTATATAAATATTTTTTAAACTTATAATGAAATGGTTGCAGTATATAAATTTCTGATAAATTATTTTAAAAATACTGTATATATAATCTAGACTTTTAATTCTTGTAAATTAATCAGTTAAATTAATAAAATGGTTTTGTATAAGAGAACAAATTTAAAATGTTTATTAATAAATATTAAAAAAAATTGTAAAGTATTTTAATTTTAAAAAATATATATATAGTTTATAAGAAATATTTTAAGTATTAAACGTGAATAACCTAAATAATAAATTATTTTATTATAACATCGTCCCAATGTCACAATAATATCTGTATTTTTTAATCATAATTTTAATTTATTTAATTCAAAATATATGCTCCCCACCTCAAATTAGTAGTCGCTTGCCCTTGTACATCATGCTTTTCCTTTAACAATAGAGTCGTGCCGGTCATCTATCTAACACCTTCCAGGGGAAAATTTTGAATTGATATAATATGAGTTCGGGTTTTCATTATATATTTGTATAAAGTTATCGGGGCCTTCTGCCTCTAAGATCTCAATATCTGGTATTATCTTTCATCTATCTAACTCTATTCTTGAGATTAAGGAAAGACTGACGTACAGACGAACGAGAGTGGAAATTTATAGGTCTATAATTCTTTCAAATCGCAGCCCAATAATGAAAAATGTTTTCAATTAAAATTTATTCATTTAATTTTATTTTTATAATGGATTAATTATCTTAAAGATTGAATAAATATGACAGCAATTGATTAATAGTAATATAGAAGGATATAAATTTTTAAAACTAATGATAATATGAAATTCATTATTTTGATAGAAGAATAAGCTTTATTTATATTCTTCAGACTAATAAAGAATCTGATGAATGTAAATAATAATTTTGCATCCTTCTAATTGTTTGCATCCTTTCGAAGTTTGCATCCTTAGACTTTGTTGTGTTGTTGTAAATTACTTATTTTCATAATACAATTAAATCAATGAAGTTTAATGTAAAATATTTTATAAGTAATTTTTTTAACTTTTATATTCATTAACAAAAGTTTTTTTAAATTCTCAAACATTGTCATTTTATTAGTTTTTACATTAGTTCAAAGGTAAAAATTTCTCATTTGAATCATTTTAAGATTTATATTTCTGTACAAATGACAATATTTTATTTATATTTACTAATTGAAATATTAATTAATTAGTGCAAATTTTACAAAAATTAGAACTAAATTAATAATATTACAGAGATTGGAGCTTCTTCCATCTGTCTTTTTCTGATCTTTTAATATATGAATAAGATCTAGATTACTTTCTGCATGGTGTAATGACCTTATTCTTCTTGTCAACGTTAATTTATTGCTGCACTTAAATCCTTTGCTCGTCTGTTTTTCTTTGATCCGAATGGTCACGTTAATTGAATATCAAATGGGTCATTTATCTATAGTGGCCCTCTTCTCTACTTTTGATTTACTATTGAGTCTACACGTCTGAGCCATTTACACCTTTGTAAATGAGTTCCTGTGTCATGAATTCTACAAAAGAACATCAAAACTAATTTAAATTCAAAATTATTACTGTAAATTTTCACAAATCTGATTATATATATCTAATTTTATTAACCTTTTACTTACAATTTATAAATTTAAAAGTCATACTTTGTATTGATTAATAATTATACAACAAATGTAATTCATGCAATAACGATAAAAATTATATCACTATAATCATTACAAATTTAATTTTTAAGTATTAATTATGATTTGCAAAATTTTAATATGTATATATAGGCCTATAGATATGAATCTAAATATGATATTATAACACTAGCATGGTATAGTCTAACTATGCCTCCTCTAATCATGTCTAAGGTATGGTTATAATTATTCATTTAAATATTTATATATATTTAATTACTAATTTACAGATTTAAGTTAGAATTTTTTTTTTACTTAAACATAATAAAATTAATTTGCTTACTATCAATACAGTGATTGAGAATTAATAATTTATCTCTTATTTAAAATGGATTATACAATATAATATATATTATTTATAATCTATTGTGATAATCTATTTATAATCTTTTATATTATTATTATAAAATATTAATTAGAGCATACATAATTTTATTAGGAAAAATATTGAAATTTTTAAATTGAAAAGAATATTTATATTTTAAAAATTATGAATATTTTAAAAAATAATAATAGTAAATTTAAAGTACATTTTATCAAAGGGTTTTCTAGTATGGAACAAAGCTTAATTTGAATAAAACTGAACTTTAAAAGCACATGATAACTCGAATTCTATAGAATAATTTTATAAAATAAAATATTATAAACTTCGAAAAATACAAAAAAATTAATCAAAGAATTAATTTAGAATTATTTTTATTAATTGAATAATTATATTAATTTAAAATCAGTTTTGTGTTATGATTATAAAATAATTTTAATTGCATTAAAGATATAATTATGTTTCTTTCTAATTAATTAAAATTGCTTTTATATAAAAAATAAATATAATAGTTATTATTATTAACAGCGAAATATTTTTACACAGTAATTTTCTAGCTTCAGAAATGAAATTAGAAATAATTAAATAGGTTTTATTATATTTTGTCAGTTTATATTTATTTAAAGTATAATATTTTTATATATTTTACATTAACGTTTTAATAAATTTAATATTTAATGTTCTTATACTATTAAGTATAAAAATTTTATATTTCAAATAATTGTTTTATGTCTTAAATTATTGTAAAGTATGTTATATTTTAATGTTTATTTTCCAGATCCTGTTACTACAGGGACTTTTGACTTGCGTTACGTTAGTTACTGCTCAGTATGGAGAAAATAATCCATATGGACAGGATTATCCATATGGAGAAAATAATCCATATGGACAGGATTATCCATATGGAGAAAATAATCCATATGGACAGAATTATCCATATGGACAGGATCCAAATGATCGTCAAGCGGTAAATACCCATTTTTCGTAAAAATTATATAAGATACATTCGAACATACAATAATGACTAACTCCAAACAGTTTTTTCCCCCAATTTTTGAAGAACTTTACGTTTTTTAATGAAAAATGTATACAAAATAACCTCTAAACAGTGGCCATTTTATGTTCCCATCAGAGGCCGTTATTCGGAGGTTTTATTCATTGATTTCAAATGTTTAATTTTAACATTTAAGATGTAAAGTAATATATAAATTATATTATTGATATATATATATATATATATATTACATACATTTCAGCTTGAAAGAGAAATTTTGTCTCCTCCTGATCCCTCTTTATTTCCTGATGCAACACACGGCGAAAATAATCAAAAAGGATATCACTTTTCATATGTTGCACCAAGTGGAGATGGATATCATACAAGACACGAAATGAGAGAACCAAATGGTAGAGTGACGGGTAGTTATACAATTAATGCGAATGGACAATTGAGAAGAGTTGATTATGTTGCTGATGAAAACGGATTTCGAGCCGTTGTGAAGACAAATGAGCCTGGTACAAGTAACGAAAGTCCTGCCTCGGCTACAGTTCAGTCCTATTATAATCCCATAAACCAGCAACCATTACAGAGAAATAAAAGAGATGTAGATAGCAAAGATGAAAAAAGCAAACACAATATAGTTCGTCGTAAAAGTATTATTATTCAACCACCACTGCCGCCACCTCCCCCGCCNCCACCAAATCCTCCTTTTCCGCCTCCGCCTCCTCCACCACCTCCGAAACTTTTAAGCGCTTCTGCTCCTCCAAGTAATTTTAGTCCTTCAAGTCCGCCGAATCCGCCTTTTCCGCCGCCGCCTCCTCCGCCACCGCCAAAACTTTTAAGAGCTTCTGCTCCTCCAAGTAATTTCAATCCTTCAAGACCTCCAAATCCGCCTTTTCCGCCTCCGCCTCCTCCACCGCCACCTAAACTTTTAAGAGCTTCTGCTCCTCCAAGTAATTTTAATCCTTCAAGACCTCCAAATCCTCCTTTTCCGCCTCCTCCTCCACCACCACCACCACCACCACCACCTCCTCCTCCTCCTCCTCCTCCTCCACCACCGCCCCCGCCACCTCCACCTCCTACTAAAAGTATTAAACTGGTGCGACCTTATTGTTATATCTGTTTCTGGCCATATTACTGGTCATACAAAAGCCAACAACCACCTACATCAATAATCTATCCTGGTATGCCATTAAATAATCCTGGACAACTCCAATATCCATTTTACCGTTATCCTAATCCATATGTATATGGTCAAAATATGGAAACCAATTATAATTACTTACCTTCTTCAAACTCATATCAATATAACTTTAAACCCACATATCCGAGTGATTATCAAACTATGAACTCGAGAAACTTCGGCAGTAATCAAGAATCAACAATACCTGATTTAATTTTCCCTCCATACGATTATCTTCCAAAAGCACGAAAATAAAACATAAATATACTCCAATGTCATTCATAAACTGAACTTTATAATAATTAATCACCTAATTATTTTTCTGTAAGTTTTATATTATTATTATTATTATAATTATTATTATATTAAACACTTAATAATCCCAGTTCTTTTGTGTTTTTATTTAAAAATCAGTATATAAATAAAAAAGATATCTAATTTTCGTCTTAAAATAAATAAGTAAAATTTAAAATTTAATTAAAAATTTCATAAGAAGTAACGCGTTTTTAATTTAAAAATAAATGTGCATTAATAAATGCTTCATTAGATTAAATATCTTGTATGATTCAGGTATTCAGGCGCTTCAAGGTAAACAACTACCAAAAACAAAACTCCAGTTCACACAGTCTACAAAAGCATCACCCACCATTCAAACTCGCTGTGGGCGAAAGACTTCCAAACCTTTCATTCCGAGACACAGTATGTAGGGCAGGAAGTGCAAGTTAGCGCGTGCCGCGTGTTACAGATCTCAACACTGATATAGTGCAGAGTTTCACATTCGTCCTACGCATTCTTGGTCATAAAAATAGGGAGTTGTCAGTCTTTACTTTCATCTCTGCGTATCGTCACCTATCTAACTTGCTCCACTTTCAACCAACAGCTGTTCCTCTATTGTTTCTCGTCCGATTTCTACCGGAATGACGTGAATGCTGCTATCCTACTTTTGCCAAAAAATCTGGATTAATTTTAAAATTTCTTCTTTTCAAATATTAGGGTAAAAAGCCGAAAAAAATATCTTTAATTTCTCGGTTATAATTTTTTTTCTTACAAATATTCTACGTTTTCTGTTGAAATAATTGCGTCCAAATAATGCTATTTTCTAAAATTTTAAAAATTCAACGGCGTAATAATTTTAAGGAGAAGTTTGAAAATGTTTAAAATATTTTTTCAATACGAATTTAAAATTTTATATGGCTTTATAAGATGTGTTCGGAAGACTTCTTAAGTTAGCTCTTGATGTCTTAAAAAAATGACTCCGCCTTTCTTATTAAAACTTTCCATTCTTGACATCTTCATTTATTTTTTGAATCATCAGTCATCCTGACAGGTGTATAGAAAAAATCCCCTTAGATTCACTATGAATTCACTACGTTATTACCGATTCGTGCGTTTAAATCCATTTTCACAAATTATCTTTCAAGGAGCTTTAGGAATAACTTGCTACTGAACTACCATCAATTCTTAATTAGCAACACTATACATTTATCAAATATAAAAAACATTCGTAGGACCTATGTTAAGTCCTGCTTCACTCTCAGTTCATTTTATATTCTGTTTATTTTCTAATATTATTTTCTAGAAACTCTATTGTCTTACATACAATATTTTTAAAAAATACAAAATTACAATTACAAAAATATAATTGTCATTATTTTTAACTTATAGGAGCTCAAATGGGAATTTAAAGACAAGGAAACAGTCGGCAATTTATTGGAAACAATTAATTTTTTAATAAAGTAAATTAATTTATAACAATTAAATTTCTAGAATTACAAATATATTTTCGTAGTATTCTGTATTGCTACTGTTTCTTCTTTTTAACAGAATGATAATTAATTATTCAATTATCACAGTAATAGTAAACAGAATAATTATTTCTACGAAAATTATTATTTCTGAGAAAATTATCATCGTTTCTTCGATATCATTTATCATTAGCATTTATTTATTTATTATTATTACTATTATATTTATTTTTAAGGAAGTAAGCACAAGAATTAATCAAAATAATCAAACGAGTATAGTGTTTTTTTTAATTGTGACTAACGACTTGACAATACCATTAGTGTTTCGAAAGAGATTAACATATTGATGACTTTCTATTCTAATTAGCATGTAAAATTTATTCTCATTTAAATTAGCATACTGATAGTATTTAGGTTAAGAGGAAAACAAGTAGAGTATACAATAAAGGATTCAAATGTCGAGCAGACAACTTCAATTTCCATAAAAACTGAGCTCGTTTTTTTTTCGAAAAATCTCATTTTCTGTAACCTGTCACTTGAATACAATATACGTATAAAACACAATTGTATCTTAAAATTATTTATCCAGAAAAATAAATTATTAATTTTTTTTTTATTTAGAACAAATTAATTTATAATAAAATTGATAAAACGCAAAAGTCAACGATGAAACAAAATATTGTGAGAAGTTCGAGAGAATATTCATAACTAGACTTTACTACTATTCAATTTTTATCTGATTTGCAAGGTTACATCTTTAAAATATTGTACTGTACATTCTCATAAGTATACTTTTTTAATACATCGGTATAGGTACGGTAATGGCGCGTGATATCTTGATGTTCTACATCACGTTTTATTAAAACAATTGAAGTCTTACTGATTGATGTTTTCGCTTCAAATAATTGATCTAGGACTACGTTTCATTTAAAATAAACATTACTTCTAGAAACTTGTAATTCCTTCAAACGAAAGCGTAAAAATTGTAGGGCCTGTATCTTGTCTTCTTTCATATGATTTATTGTTATGACTCCGGAACAAGAGTTTCTCGTGATTATATGTTTGAGCGTATGATTATGTTTTATGAAATGTTTGGCAAACTTGAAGAAATTCCCATTAACTTCCACGCTTTTTTTTCGATTTTAATCTCGGGCAGTGATCGCAAAGAATATTTTTAATTATATATTAATTTAAAATAAAAAATGCTAATAAATAATTGTAACTCCGTGTAAGCAATTGTTTTTATTTCGAACAGGTTTTAAATTTTATTTATTTATTTATTTATTTTTCCTACGTAAAACTTAACGTTTTTATATCACGCAAATTTAATTTTGTTAATTTATTCGCCGATATTGATAACGGAATAGAACAATAGCAATCTCTTTACGAATTCCATCATCCACGATAGTCACGAGTTAAGAGAAATTATTTTCTTACTTATTCCGAAATACCTTTTATCCAATGATGCCATCTCTGAAAGTCTTTCATTTTGCTACAGAAGTCGCTACTAAATGTACAAAAGGCACGCAAGTGCTACCCCCTTACTACCACGAAAAGAACTCTAATGTCTCACACGTGATACTTAACATCACCTTATCGGTCAGGGCTGGGATGTCCCGCCTTTCTCAAACTGTTGGTCATATGCCCTCATTCCATTCCGTGTCCTTGACAACACTTCCCTAATAATAACGCCAAGTGAGATTAAAACGCCCAACATCACACCACGTAATTTAGATACATCTTCGTGATCTTCTTTTTTGTTCATTTAATAAATTTCTTAAACACTTAAAAATTTGTTTAAATATTTTTATTGTAAATTTAAAAAATAAATTTATAAAGGTTTAA